ATTTTTAAAGGTGTTAAAGAAATTTAGAAAAAAAACAATTAGAAAAAAAAAATCGCATGAAAATTGCAGACTTTTCTCAATTTTTATCTTTAGAATCAATTCTCCTCATATTTTTCAATTTTAAAATTTTTTAAATTTTAAACAAGATACGTATCTTTTTATAACAAAAATATATGCATTTGTTTTATTACACTTAATAATCTTTATATCTTTTACCCAGTGAGCACGGTACGTTTTTTAAACGTACATATGAACGTTTTTATTAGATTTAAAACTAATAAAAACGTCCAAAGAACAGTTTTAAAAAATTACCGTGTTCACTGGGTATTGTGTAAAGTAACCAAACCCAGGTTGCACATTCCAAGTTAGATACGACGTATGTTACGTACAAGTCGGTTCATAACACTAAATTCATTGATATAGATGTTTCTTTTAACATAGTAGGCATTTTTTTAATCTTATTTCTGGCATATCTTGATGATATACTGGAATATCGTGATGAATATACTTAACACCACTTAAAACAAATACACAGAGATTACTTTCATATGATTATAGGAATATGAGTTAATTAGGAAGGAGGAGAATATGAGTTTTTCCAAATAATGTATAGAAAGTGACCTATGTGGCACCTAAAATAAAAATAAACAAAATAAATTTTTTATTTTAGGAGCCCCAAGGAGTCCATATGGTCTTATCACAGAGCACCGTGAATAAGCATTTAATAAAAAGTTTACGCCTCCTTCCTAATTGATGTTACAAAATATTCAATAGGTGGGGTTCAACTGACGGATCCTTTGTTTCTGAGGAAAGTGCGCTACCACTGCAAAACAGAGCTTTGTGGAACACTAGTAACGCGAATTCGGTCAAATGCATGTCCTCTAAGTACTACTCTTTGTTTTTTATTGGTAAAGAAAGTCTATAATCCATTCAAAAAGGTTTTCCATCACTCCATATGCTTTTAGCTTAAAGATTAATAATGTTTGAGTGATTGTGCCAAAAACTTGATAATTAACTTTAAATATTATCAGCTTTGAAAAAAGAATAGTTTTTTTATAAAATTTTTATATTTGTTGAGTTCTTTTAAACTTTTCTGAAAAAACAAAAAAACTTTTCAAATAAAAACCACAATAGGGACAGGTTTAAATTTGAGGTTTTTCATTATTCCTAGGCTCTGTCGATTGTCGCAATTTTTTCAAAAAAATATTTTTTGGTATTAGTATGAATATTCATAAATTTTTTAACTTTTTTGTTAATAAAATTAACTTTCAAACTAACTATATAATAAATATATAGCTAAATAATAAAATTAACTTTAAAATTAACGGTTCATGTTTAAAAGATTGAGTAATTTCTGCAAGTTATTTACGTTGCACACTAAAAATTCTGTTACTGTTTGTTTAATCCCTCTTTTATATTTCTGAATATTGATAGGTTGTTTTCAATGTCTAGGTTATAATTAAACAAAGAATGTTGGTTTAAAAAAATGTAATCTGTCACTGGCGTACTTTTTTCCTAAAGTATTTTTTTTAAAAAGAAAAAAAAAGTTTTGCAACGTGTGCTTAAGGTGTAATAAATAAGGGTGAGTCTAATCAACTTCGCTACTATGTAAGTAAATTGTTTGGTCTCACTAAAATACATAACCATGACGTAACCATGACGTAACCATCCCTAACATTACAACTACTTTAGTACAACTACAATATTTTCAGAAATCGACTGAGGGATGCGCGTGACAGTATAAGTAAAAGTATACACATAAAAACAATTCACATTTTTAAGGTGCACAAAAGCTTAAAATAGCAGATAGTAATTCAAAGTAATTTAAGATTTCTAATAGAGTTGAAATTTGTTTCTTATAAATTTATTAAATTATGATTCGTTACACTCAGAACTAAAACAATTGTTAGTGTGATGTGTACAAGAAACTTTGCATGGAATAAATCAAGAAGTTTAGAATTACAACAACAACAACTACAACAAGATATTTATTTTCCTTTTCAAAATTTACATATAATTATATAATAACAATAATAATAATAATATTATTTATAATAATACAAACAACACAATTATAATAAAAAACAACTAATAAAATCAAATATAAATAGTTATTTGAAATGGAAGGTGTCACTCAAACAGAAGCCTGATCAAAGGAGTGACACCAAATAAATATAACAATAATAATTAAAAAATAATAATATTATCTATAATGATACAAACAATATAATTATAATAAAATATAAATAATAAGAATAAATATAAATAATTATTTAAAAAGGAAGGTATCACTCAAACAGAAGCCTGATCAAAGGAGTGGTACCAAATAATTATAACAATAATAGTTAATAATAATATTATCTATAATAATACAAATAATATGATGACATGAGTATCATTCATGATCAAAATAAGTGACACCAATTAATTATAACAATTAGTATAATAATAAAATAATAATAAAAACAATAAATATGAACCGAAGATTGCTGAGAAAATAAATAAAATAATAATAATAACAACGAAAAAGCGATACGATAAACAACGATAACGATAAACAACGATAAGTTAAATAATAAGACAAAAAATATGAAAACACTCAATAACAACAGCAAACAAAAATAAAAATAATAAGCAAAACAGAACAAATAAAAAACAAACTTTGCACAAACGAAAAAGCAAAATACAAAAACAACAAGATGAAACACAAAAACAACAAAACGAAAAGGCAAACACAAAAACTTCTACAAAAAAAAAAAAAAACTTTTTAAATTTAAAAAATTAGGACAAACTTTAGTGGTAATCCTACAGTTACGCGGCCTAAAATAATTATATTTTTGCCAGGGGGTTTTGCTACATCGATATAATATAAGAAAAAAGATTGCTACCTCATGCCAAACCCTCAGTCGACGTAGCAGCACTTCCTTGTAGCAGCAGGCTATAAGATAGTCGATGTAGCAAAACCCCCTGGCAAAAGTATAATTATTTTAGGCTGCGTAACTGTAGCTTTACCACTTTAGTTATTTTTGCGAAATAATTAAAAAAAAAAAGGTGTAGAAAATTAGGTAAAATAGAAAAACAGGAAACAACAATAAAAATAATTAGCACAAATAATAACAAACTTTACGCAAACGAAAAGAGAAACACAAAAACTACAAAACGAAATGCTTACACAAAATGATAATATTTAACCAAATATAATATTTAATAAAAATAATTAATGGTAACATTATAACAATAATTAATAATTTATATAATGATACAAAATAATAATGTAACAAATATCACGTTAAAGAATGATTTAAGTATATATTATAAAATAGTAAAATGAATAAATAATAATCTCATATAAAATAAGTATCTAATACAAATGATAATTAAAGGAAAATAAAATAAGTGATATTTACAACAAAGATTAGCTCAAAAATATCTTCTAAAACTTGATCTTTTCTTTCTTCTCTTCCGCTTTTTTGTTAGTTTCTTCTGTTTTTCTTTTTCTTATCTTTTTTCTTTTTTATCTTTTATTTTAGTTAAATTTAGGTGATTAAAAATTCGATTTTTTTTTTTTGTCTATTTTTTTTAAAGTTTAAATGATGTAACTCTCTCCTTCTCCTTTTTATTTGGATTTTTTTTTTAAGTTTTTTTAAATTTATATGCACTTAATTATTATTATTTCTGTTTTCGTTTAATTTTTTTTTTAAATTTCTAATTTTATTTACTGATTAGATTTGTTGTTTAGTTAATAAATTTTTTTTTTAAACTTCTTTTTTTTTCCCTTTATCTTTCCGTTATAAAAACACGCCCGCCATCGTTGAAGACTCCCCACGGATCAAGTTTAAAATTATTGATCTCAACTGACAAAAGGAGGCGAATACTTTAAATTAGTAGCATATAATTGTTAATAATTTATATTTTAGGATAATATACAGAATTAGAATATAGTATATAATAATTACCTAATTAAAAAAATGACTGCTTAAGTATGAGGAGAGCTATATGAAAATTGTAAACTAAAAAAAATAGGCTCTAACTGCGATATATAATAAAATATTTTGAAATAATGCCTGAAAACGTTAAGTTAAAAAAAGTTATTGTTTTCAAAAAAACCAATAGAACACTCGTAAAGACTGTAGAGTGCAAACATTTGTTTTACAAGTTTTAAACCCACTATTACAATTGTATCATCAAATATTTAATAAGTTTTAAGTTTTAGATTTACTCCTAACGCTGAAAATAATATTCGATGCGTTTTTAATTTTCTGATAAGATTAAAGCTACTCAGTAAATGGTAACTTTAATGTACTGAGTAGAGTATTTAGTCGTGTTTCCTTAACTATAATTACCAAATGTATATTTAATGTAAAACCGTCTTAATAAAAACTTATTTTAGCCATATGATGGACTATATATATGCCAGTATTTTAATTTTCAAATGTGTTTTGAAATGTCTGATAAAGAAATATTAAATATAATATTTGATGTTGACTTTTTAAGTGTTATTCAATTCACTTTAGTATTTCTGAAAAACAACTAGTTCTCAACTAGGCAAGCGGTTGCTTTGTTTTTTTATTTAATTAGTTACTTCTGTTTAGTTAATTTTTATTCATAATTAAAATTAAATTAAACTTAAGCAATGATCCCGATAATAAAGTAAAAGATAAAATTTAAACAAACAAATTTCTAAACTTATAAATCTTAAATAAATTAATAAAATCCATATAAAAATGTACAACTTGTATGTAAAAATTTTTCATATCAAGATGAGAAAAAATTTTTTTTTTTACCATTTGTTTAGGTTTGTTTCTTCCTCCTTAAAGAATAGCTTATATACAACTTAAAAAAGAAAACTTTTTATATTATGAAGCAATGTTTTATAACGTAAAATTAATAAACTTTTATATGAATTTTATTGTACTTTTGTGCATATTTATTTTTAGTATTTTTGTTAATTGTTAAAATAAAAAGCAATTTATAATAAAATATGATATAAAACAGACGTGTTTATGTTCAAAAATGAGTTCTTGTAAAAACATTTTGCATAAAAACATTTTAAAGTCTTAAATATTCGACATATTGAAAAATTTATAAATTTTAACTCAAAATACTAACTCATTGTCGTCTTTAAAAATTTTTCTCTTTTTTGTTTGTTGGGTTTATTTCTCTTTCGTTATTGTTTTATGTTGGCTATTATATATTTAAATGCAGCTGTACTGGGCTTGGATTTTTCTCTTTTTTGTTTGTTGGGTTTATTTCTCTTTCGTTATTGTTTTATGTTGGCTATTATATATTTAAATACAGCTGTACTGGGCTTGGATAATAATGAAGCGTAGTGGTCTCTTTGCAAACTTCTATATTACTTTCAGTATTGAATTTATTATTCTTGTTAAAGATTACACATGGATCATATTTTAAAGGAAATATACTTTGAATATTATTGAAACCGATATCAGATGAATAATAAATAACATCATTTGATGAAATATATTTTGTTATTGTAGCAGTTTGTTGTGCAATATATGCATTTTGAAGGTAGCAATAGCTTTTCAAACTTGGGTTTCTTACTATATCGTTGTTGTTTAAGCTTTTGTTAACCAAAAAACTACTTACATCTAAATCATTGTTTCTTTGGGCGGAATCCATTTTTGAATAATTACCTTTATTATGTTCGCACTTCTTAGTCGAATACTTTGGATGGTTTGTCATATAAGCCGTTCGAAGGTTCTTTGCTTGTGTTGTAAACGGTAATTTTTCAATTGCACTCATTTTATTCCAAGTATATCCTAAAAGTTTACTGATTTCTGAATTAAGCATTTTAGGATTTTTTTTAGAATAATTTTTTCTTTTAATTCTTGCCCACAACAAGAATGAGCTCATAGGGCGTTTTACTTTGTCCTCAATAACAGTTTCTTTAGACAACACATCTTCACAAAAATGGCTAAGTGGAATACAACCGTAAGACTGTTTTGAAACTATTTTGTTGCTTGTAACAGGTGAAATATGTTGCAAAACCTTTGAAGTAGATTGCATTTTAATAATTAAAAGAAGAAGAATCTTTTAACTTTTTATGTATAAAATTGTTTACGTCAAATCAACTTTATACTTCCGTTTTGGAACAAACCACTAATAATTTATTTGTTTTATGTATTTTAACAACATGTAAAATATTAGGGAGACACAAATAATCTTTCTAAACTAATATTTATTTTTATTCAATTTAACAACAACAAGACAAAAACAAAACAAGGCAAATAACAAATTACTTGACAGAGTTAATTCAAAATACATTTTTTAGCTTTTTAGACTACCAAAAACTTTTGAGTTTTTATGTAATTTATAACACTGTTAATACTTTAAAAAGTTTTTATTCAGTGTTTTAACATAAAGTTTAAGTTAAAACCCTGAAAAAACGTTATTTTTTAGTATTTTAATTTTTTTTAATATTTATAACTGACTTCATATTAAATCTTTTTGTCATATTTAATAACAAGAAATTCTTTAAAAGGTTGTTTTAAATTAAAAACGTTTAGAAATTAAATGCAACTGTAACTAAAAAAAGTCCTTAAAAAAAACATCTTTTTTTTTTTGAGAAATATGCAACAGATTTTTCAACAAAAAAAAATTATTTAATAAAATAAAAAAAATTTCTATCAAAAAAAAAATTATTTAACAAAATATTTTTAAAATTATTTATTGTCTAGCAAGTATTTTTCAAATGTTTACTAAAGTAAAAATAAATTTTATGCTCACATATCCTTTAATTAGATAAAGGTAACTAAAATTTTGTTTATAGTCAGCATTTAATGAAGATGTAAGCATCAAGCAAAACTAAATAAATTCTTATGAACTCTTGGTTTTCATTAGACTAAAATAGAACAGAGTTAAAAAAAATGTCAAAAAAAATTTTAAACATGTATCACATTATCTTATAAATATTCTTTGAGATCATTAATAAGTTAGTTATAATTACATATCATAAGAAAAAACATTTATTTACAAATTAAACGAAATGGACAACTTAATTTCATAAAATTAAACTTTTTAAAATTTTATAGATATTACGTTTTTGAGGAAATAATTTTTTTCCCGTTAGTTTCTAGCCATAGGAGACTATAGCGAGTGTACTTAAAATTTTTCAAACTTCCATAAGTAGGGGAGAGTGTGTATAAAAGAGCCAGTTTTAAAAAGGTATGGAAAAAATGTCAACTTTGATTAATTAAAAAAAAAAAAATTTTTTTTAATTAAATAGTTACGTTATTGGGTAATATTATAAAATTAAAATAAATTGGATAACATTGCTAATAATCTTATCATACACCTATTTTTAAAAATGAGAGAAATCAGCTCTTTCATAACATCTTCTCAATGAATGTGCCACTCTGTGCTATGAATGAGCCGTAACGCTTTTTCTAAAACTAACAAGTCTTTTAAGAGTTATAATCTGTTAACTAGACTTCTGAAAATCAGATTGTACTTTAAGTTATATAATTCTATGATAATCAATGATAAAACAAATGATAAAACAGCTTTAATAATATTTTTTTTTTTTTTTTTCACTTTTTATTTAATGTATTGCAATAATATAGTTACATCTTTATAACTTGTTGCTGGTGATTACTTGATTACGGGTGATTACTTATTACTGGTGATTACTGTTATTAACGAAACTGTTTATTCGTTTAGTTTCACTTTATTGTTAAAAAAATACGTCGCTTTTCCTAGTTAATACTTGTGAAGGCATGTTTTTTTTAAAGATAAAAAATATTAAATGAGAATGAAAAAAAAAATGTATTAAAATACACTAGTCAAACGTTTATAAAATATATATATATATATATATATATATATATATATATATATATATATATATATATATATATATATATATATATATATATATATATATATATATATATATATATATATATATATATATATATATATATATATATATATATATATATATATATATATATACACTAGTCAAAAGAACAAATTGTTTTGACTACATCTTGACGAAAAATGTTATCTATGAATCATAATGATTGTTTCAATACATTTCACATATGTTAACTATACTAGTGATATATGAGTGAATACAATAATACAAAATAAGTTTTGACAAAATGTGTGGACATTTGAAACAAAAATAAAATTTAATTATTAAAAAAAAAATTATTTCAACTTTAGTAAAAACTATATTATTATTTGAATATATTTTTAAGATTCAAACGCACCTACGTTTTACGACTTCAGGAAAAGTCATTCAAACAATTATCTTCTATAGAATATGAACAAAAAAGCATTACGAAAAACAATGAAGTCGTTAATGCGCAAAACAGTTATTTAATTTGAAAAAAAAGCTAAATAGAAGGTCGACTTTTTCATAGCATAAAAAAGTGGCTCTTTCAAAAAATTGTATGGTAAAAAAAATAACCTGAAATTAAACATTTTTTACCGAAACTTTAATCTAATATTACTTGTGGAAAAGAAGGACACATATATATAACAATGCAGCTCATATGTTCTATCAAATAATAAAACATTCTTTATTTAAAAAATAAATAAGTAAACCACACAAAAATTACTTTTATTTTCAAAATTTTTAGTGCACCCTTACGACGCTATTTATTTTAGTAGAACTCGAAATTTTTTGTGGGTGACAGGTATCCAACGTTGCAACACAAAAAGTAAAATACAATTATATCCGGGCGCCAGCAAGTCAGATATAATAGATCGGCTCTTTCAAAACCTGGCTCTTTCATACCCACTCTTCCCTAACACTCAATGGATATAATTGTTATTATCATTAAAATCGTTATTTAAGAAATGCTCAATGTTTACCATTTGACAAAAAAATGACAGTGCTCTCTTAATAAGGTAAATTGGTCTGGTTTTAGTTAACATTCAGAAAATTTTATTTTTTTTAATAAGAAACATATTTTTTCATATAATTTGTTTCAATTGATAAAATTTTTGTTTTCTATAATAGTATGTAAAAAAAAAAAAAAAGAAGTTTTGTATAATATTTATTTTTTAAAAATAACTTTACAATAAGCAAATTTTAACCGATTGATATTTTTTTCAACTAAAGTCGGTCATCGTTATAATCAATGGGAAAACAATAAAAACGGAGTAAAACCAATTCATATATGAAAACTAATAAAAAGAAAAAAATCTGTCTATTACTGAATATTGGAAATACAAAGTCTGCACTTTTTATTCCAGAAAAAATCAGTGCCTTGTAGATATTGCTTTGGAGTACATATCTGATTGCAAAACAACAATTAACACAAATTGTTTCCACGTTGAAGCATTGATTCATGGAAATTTTCAACCTAGTTAATGCAAATTTGTAAAACTTAAACCAAAATTTTTAATAATTATCTCATTTTTGACAATCTACAACACACGTTTTAAATGAAATAAAATTAATCGAAACTTACTTTATTTAATACAAAAAAAGTAAATATTTTTTGTTTGTGTTTTAAAAAAGTTTCTTGAAGTTTTTTTTTTGTTTACACAAAAACTAAAACTTTTATGAAGTCTCATTTTAAACTTCTTTAGAAAATTGCTCAGTCGCTTTGCTACTAATTATTTTAAATAAAATTAAAAAAGTCGTTAATTTGGACATGATCATAAATCAAATTCAGCTTTTATAAAGTGTTTAAGTATATAAATTTTATAAAATTTTAGTTTTGGTTTTTTGCTCAAAATTATGATGTTCTTCACTTAAAAAGTAAACGAAAATGTTATATGCTAATAGCTCTTTTTCTTCTATATCCTTAAGGAATGTTAAATTGTCTAAATATCTTTGTAACTGATAAAATAATTTAAGCACCGAGCCAAGTCTTTACTTAAAACATTCAGATTTCACAGGTCTGAAAATTAAAGCTTAATTAAATAATACCAAAATATGCCACGATTTTTTTATATTATATTATGTAACATAAAATCGTGATAGAAAAATTATACTTTAAAAAAATTTTCAAGATTGCTGTAAAATTTTTGGGGTTTTCTTTTAAAAATTTTTATCGTTTATCTTGCAGACTAGACATTTTACGGAAATATCTTTATTGTTTAAACTAATAACCGACTGACAGTGATATTTTTAAAAGCACCTTAACTACAATAATTATTCTTTGCACTTTTTGCATTGAAGTACTATTTTGATGTTTATTTAGTATGCTTGCATCGTCTGCGTAGTCTATGATACGTTTTGTGGCCTATTTTTTATTTCATTTTTCATCCATTGCTTGAACTTTCTTAATTGTTTCTGCTTCAGTTGAAGCTACTCCTTCAATTCTTACATTGTTTCTTTTAGATTTGCCAATTTGTTAATCAGAGTCATTTAGAGTTAGTCAATACTAAATTTAATAAAAAGAAATAAATCAGTGGGTTTTTTTACACCAACTGACCGCGTGTGTTCTGGTGAATCACTTGTCACTTTCATATAAAACTTTTAACAAATTTAGAAAATTAGCTTTATCAACACTTTTGCATTTTGATGATAAATAAAATGATTCTAATAGCTTTTTGCAGATAAATTTAACGTGACAATTTATTCCAACATCTAGCGGCTGCAAAATATGACTTGAATAAGCTAGTTGGCAGACCAGTTAAATGTCATTTTCTTTAAATAGTATAATAATTTTGAATGACACTTGAGTAACCATCTGATACAAGAATTATCTGTCAATCACTTTAACAGCTGGTATGAATAGCCATTCCAGCGATTCAAGAAGTTTTAATAACTCCATCTATCCTGAATCTGATCTTGTATATACTGTGTCGGTTTAACCATTTTTGCATTATGATTAATATAAGTATCTTATTGGTTTATAAAAGATGAAAGGAGGTAAATAGAAGCCTGATGCATTGACGCATTTGTTTACGGTATTACTACTTTTTTTAGTTTTTTCTGTAAGTTTGAATAATCGCTTTGATGCTTTTTGGCATAAAACTAAAAATTTTCCTTGGTCTCCACCAAAAACACACTCATTGTAGTTCCAATTATGTGAAGCTTTTAAGTTATTAATATTGGCTTTATTGTATTGTATTAAGCAGAAATTGTAAAAGTATCAAAAACAAATCGCTAAACTAAAATA